TATAATTAAAGTATTAATTATAACGATACTCTGATTTAGTGGAGGCATATTTGCTCATATTGTTGAAAATTATTCTTGCCAGAAATGAAAGCTAATACCAATTTGTTTCATCTCTTCACATATAATATTTCTAATCTGATTGTTATTAAGATCAATTTCAGCTATTACCAAACTCCATAAACGATCTGTAATTCTAAGTAATATATGAAGTTTATCTGGAATTCAGTTTTCCAAAGGTATCATAAAAAATAATAGCTTTCGAATATGTCCAGGACAAGTACTACAACTATTAATAAGCATTTCTATATTTTTTTTATTCCAATACTTGTTATATAATCTAATTTCTTTTTTAGTACATTTGCAATAAGGACAGAAATATATTGTATTGGCAGCATTTAGTTCCAAACATAAAGCAAGAAATTTCCAATCTGATAAGAAATAAAGTTGAATATTCTATCTATTGTCAAATTCATCAACAATTCCATTTTGAAAAATATCCTATAGATCATGAATTAATAGCATTAAAATATTTTGTAAAATTTGATAATCTTCAATGCCAGGATATAGAACTATAGTATAATGTCGTTCAGATATCTGAAGATTACTAATATCATTAAGAATAGAACATGTAATCATTACATACTTTACATAGTATCCTACATTTTGACCGTCATCTGATATTCGTAGTATAATTAGAGAATTACTAGGATCTAATATATTTTCTTCAATATAAAATAGAATTATATACTTCAAAATATCTTTTATACTTCTATAACTAGCCTTTCTAACTGATTCGGTTATACCATAAATTATTTCTTCATTATCAATATGAATTTCTTCATTATTTGTTGCAAATATTGTTGAACTATTTATATTAATATCCATAATATAAAGAGGTATAATATCTTGCATTATTTTGTCAAGATTAAGCTTTTCATTACTAATTATATATTCACGATCTAATTCTGGATAAATTTTTGCCATTGATCGAAAAGCTTCTCATGAAATATAATTACTATCCATTACACAAACATATGCTTAGCTTTTGATTTTTTCAAATGTCATATCTTTTGAATAATTAACTATTCAATTTTGATCATCAACTGACAAAACAAGTGATTTTATTTGTAGTTTGTCCTTATGATGTAAATGTGTTGTTTCATGATTAATATAATCACGTACTTTTTCACCAATTTGTTTGATTCGAGATCTTTTTGCAGAATTACTAAGAGTTTCAAGGGGCCGAAGAGCATTAGATCGATGATAAGAATCTCTAGCTTGTTCTACATATTTAAGCTGCAGCCCAAATACTATAGTTCCAGATAGTGTTGATTTTCCATTAGGATTATATGTCTTTATTATAAAGAGTGTTTTTTTAGTATTGATTTAAATATTAAAAAATTTTTTTAAAAACTTTACCTGTGCAAATAAATTTGCCGCATGAGTTGCACTTTGCCAAGACTCGATTGTTTGATAACCATTATTATATTCGATTTTAAAACAAGGTTTTAATTGCATTTTATCATCAATACATTGATATATATAATTAATAGTGTATGTAATGTTTCGTGTTTTACTTTTTTTCACCCAACTAACTACAACTTTATAATTATCAGGAATTCTATAACTACTATTTTTTTTTCTTTGAGTCCTGACAAGAACAGGTGGTGACGGATAATATCCTTCAGAGATAATAGTATAATGATAAGTGCCAGTAGAAGGATCTTTGTATTCGATTTCAGGTTTTCTAGGATAATCGTGAAGTTCCATTGTATCATGTTTAATTTTATCGTTTGCCATTTTAAATAAACAGATATGTACTGGTAATTAAGATGTGTATAGTGATAGTGTGAAATTTTCTAATAGCATATTTATATTGATGCTTTACAAGATGACGTAATAAGATATAAATTCATAGCAAGTTAAGTATTAAAAAACTCCAAGAATATAAATCAATAAGATAGTAATAAATCAAATGAATTGAGTTTATTATTCAAATAATGTGACTAGGGAACTATGTTTCGCTCTCTATTAATTAATTATATAAAGCTGTTATTAAGATAACTCAAGCAATTACTATCGCCTGCGATCTATTTTAATTACATACCTTTAAACTTAAGGAGTAATTATATAAGTTGTGCTATACAATAATAAAAATTATATTGATATTAAGATTGACATGTAATATATTATTTAAATTAGGAGTGTTTTCTCTATTACGGCACCAAAGAGAATTAATTGGCAAGTTTAAGGTTGTCGATCTATTCGATTACGTAATCGATCTGGAAATCGAAAGTCGAATTACCGTGAACAAAATTGGATGATACAAGTTGGCGACATGTTCGAACGGGTTTTTAGAAGTTAAGGGTTGATTTGCTTATCTTATTTTTATGTACGTATATTTTTTATTTTATTGTTGGTTTACAACCTCAAATTTAAAACACTAATAATGGAAAAATTTATATAATACAATTTTATTACGTAATAATATCAGCAAATAATCATCTAACCCCAACTAGTCGGTCAATACCCTTAAAATTTTTGGGGTACAAAAAAAATTAGCGCAGACGCTTAGTGCACTAATCATAGTGCTGCACTATGATAGTAAATCATTTGGCATCTAACACCCTAACATCAAATCACAGAATTAACTACCGCAGAAAATCGCCCATATGAAAATTATCGATCTTTAATCTACCTCTTTCACACAGATATTGAAAAAAAACATAAATAATTCTTGTTTTTTATTATTTCC